ACCTTATGAACTCCCCAGGAAAGCTTTTATTCAGACTATAGAGCAAGGAAGCCATAGACATCTATACAAATGAGAGTCGCCTCCTGCTGGTTAGTTGAAGGAATGCATGTTTAAGCCGCTTCAACATTGGCCTCACTTTCTATATATAGCATATTATTATCTGTAAAATAACTCATAGCAATAACTTTCAGTGACATCTGTCTTGATAGTTGGAGTTCAGATTTTTTCTTGCCACATTTCAACACTTTGCTGCCTCTGCAGGATGATCTCAGGCTTTTACGCTTATATTCTTGTGCACATTGCAGCTTATATAGCTGATATTTTCTTTCTTTGTAGTAGAGCTTCACTGGTTAGATGCCTCGCACTCTGATAGTCTCGTTGCTTCCTGCAGTTGAAGTGTATTTTTGCCTCCAGAGCGGCTCTGCCTTCAGAGGAATATTTGTACAGTTAAACTCCAATCTGTGACTACAGCTGCACTGTGCTATTTAACTGCCTTGATGATTTGGTGGATGTAAAACCTCGGGGGCCTCAGGCTCAGGCCTCGCGGCAGGGTGTCAGGTGACGTGCTGAACTGTATCTGTTGCATCGTCTGTCATATTTACTGTTTAGATGTTTTCACAGTGGCAGTTTATTCGCTGAATAATGGGCGAGGAGACAGATGCACATTGCTCTGCGTGACCTACTCAGCAGGCTATCGCAAACATAATCTTCTGAAAGGTGAAAGGGTCGCCAGCATTTGTTAAACAAACAGTGAGTGAGGGGTTATAGATAAAAGAGAGAGTGATACACACATGCATAGCTAAAAGCAAGCCTGTGTAGTGGCAGAAAATACCACTAATCGCTTTAATTTGTCACAAATGAAATAATTAATTAAAGAAAGGCCTCACCACCAGGGGCTGTGCTCAGTCTGCACTTCAAAATGTGAAGTAGAGTCCTTCAGCAGACACTTATCATCACTGAGGCACAAAATAATACCAGGTGTTAAGGCCCTTGATGACATCTCTGCCATCAGATCAGATAACCTGACTAACACAACAGCAGGATCGTGTGTGTGAGTCAGAGGGAAACAGAAGCATTACAAATATGTCAGGATTTGTCTTTTTTTTTCTTGTTTCCTAACAAACAGAACAGGGAAGCTATTAAGTAACTAAATAACTGATTGTTTAAATTAAAACACTCGTGCATTATATCCTTTGTTACAATAAAAAGTAATCTAATGTATTACTTTGTAACAACTGGTCTCCTTTTATGCAAATGATTGTATAAATGGAACTGTATGATGTACAGAGTTATATACCAGGTTCAGAGAAGAAAGGTGAGTTAAGTTACAACTTCATGTTGTTGGTTGAATATTTCTGAAAGTGCTGAATAGAGCAGGGCGATATGACCAAAAATATTTATCAC